GTACTTTCTTTTGAACCCCTAAGAGTGCAAATAGTTCAATTTTGAAACTTTTAATTTTTAAGATTTTTGTCGAAATTTTGAGCGATTTTCGGATTAATTGCTAATAACTTCGAAATTATTGACGCTAGTCCTTTTTCAACTCGCTGGGACACTCTGTATATCTGTTACTAAAGAGCTATCTTGAATAAAAATAAAAAAAATTTAGTTGGCCAATAATTTTGAATTTGGTGTAGAAACTTAGATTCTGAACAACCTTTCTTACAAAATTTTTGGCGTATTTACAAAACAAAAACGGCGCCACTGCGTTCATTATCCAATAACAGTTCTCCTGTTTGCTAAAGTTGCACTAAAAAATTAATTTCGGGGTTGAATAAAGTGATAAATGAGTATAAACGAGCTTTTGGATCGTGGTGTGTGGATGTCGACGTTGTACGATTTCTCTTACTCAATGTTGGTGGTGCTGCATATGAAGATTGATTGCATAAAAAGACTAAATACGGTGTGCAGTGCTTTATTGATAGCGTCTGGCCACTTAATAAACTTTAGCCTAGACTCTATACATCAAGTCGGTTACGCTACCGCCGCCACCACCGCCACCACCGCCTTTTGTAAACTTTCAGACTGGATTATAAACATATTATGGGCGAAAAGTGCATTAGAGTGAACGATGCATTTTATTTCGTTGCATTTGAATCGGGAATTATCCTTTCGGCTTCCAGAAATCAAGTCTCCATGTCAAATTTCAAATTTTTTGACAAATAGAATTTTTTCCATGTTTTTGGTATCTTATCGTACTTGAAATTTTTCTGTGGGACGCGATTCTGACACACCATGTATAATGATAATTAAATTTGCTAACACCGAAAACTTCTGAAATATCAAAACTGCAAAAATTTCGCTATTAATAGACAAGGAGAGGAAAAAAAATCTAATAACTGAATAATAATTTGTATTCTTTGCCCAGCTTCCTGAAAATTTTGCGAACAGTGTTGCCAGATCTGGTGATTTTCATGCTAGTCTGGTGATTTTTTTGGAAATGAAAAAAAGTGTTCAAACTTGATTATTTTGCAAAAATTTCTTTACAAAATCGAAAAACCACATACTTGTCAAAAGTGACAATTTAATTTTTTGAATGCTTTAGTTGGTTAATTAATTTCGTTAAAAACAAGTCCACAAATTCAAGAAAATTGATCAAAAACGAAGTTATTTTTAGCAAAATTATCACAAAAATAAGACAAGAAATCGAAAAATCAACAAATTAAGACAAAAATTAGATTATTTTTATGTATCTGACCTAAAATGTCAAGTTTTTTGCGGCATTTCGCTTGAGCAAAACAAAACAACAAAAAATTTGGTAATGAATTATACAATTTTTGCATTTCTTAAGCGTTTTGGCACGTTTTTTTGGATAACACCAACACCACTGGTTTTCCTGAAACTCCTCCCAAAGGCTGTGCTAATTTTTCTTTTTTTTTCAATGTATCATTGTATCAAGTTGTTGATAGTATGAAAAAAAGAGAAAGAAGAAGAAGAA